TACAATCTAACAGTCGGGTAAAAAATATTCTTTCTAACCGGTTATAATTTTCAAATACTCTATAGGTAATCAATTTAAGTGTATAGAATACTAGCTGCCTTTTCTGCAGATGTCTGTATATTTTATTAAGGAATGATTAATTTAGAAGAGATAGCAAGAAGAGGAAAAGTATACTACGGAGGTTAGTTAGTATGACGTAACAGACGTGAAAATGACCAAAATCAGGTTAAATGTATGAATAAAATTGGCATGCCTTTTGGAAACAGCGGTAGGTAGTTAAGTTAGTTGATGGAGTGTCTGTAAGAGTTGAAACAATGACTAAAATCTCTTAAAATTTAAGTGCAGAAGAATACTAGAATATGAATAAAATTCCTTGAGTAAAAATCCTGCTCTGGTTATAATTAAGATGATGGATTAAATGCCTTATTCTTGAATAACTTGATGAAGTTTAATATTGTGAAATTTGGCACTGGTTTATTTATGTATAAATGACAGAGGTGAAGGATTTTTACTATGGTATTTGATTAGTGTGCAAAGCATTTTCAAGGTGAAGGTTGGTAGTATCACATATCATACAGAGTCAGTGCCGATGGAATCCAGTTTATATCTTTAGGGCTAACTAAGCAGAACAGTGTTTTAAATTAGAAGGATAGCTTTGAGCATAATTTGTTCTGTAGTGAATTATATTCATTTATTTTAAGGATTAATCTGACAGGTATATTTAACTGTAATGATAATAGGTAGAGGTTCAATATACGGCTTCGACAGCAAGTCTTCACTCTGTCCTGTTTTCTGCGGTCCACATAAGTCGGTACTACGATTGTCCATAGTCTGTCATCTCCTCCTCATAAAATCTCTTCCACGTCACTCTCGGATTACCTACTAGTTATTTTCCGTTTGGGGTCCACTAGAGCCGTGAACTAGCGAGCAATGTCATTCGATGGTCTCCTTGGCGCCTCCCAAGTCTATCTCTATTTTCTTCGTTACATTTGTTGAGCGATATGGAGCCAGCAAGGGGAGTAGCTATTGATAAATATCTACAGTAGAGTGCTGGAAGTGGTCTTTTTGACACGCGTGTCAAGTTTCTGAACCATATAGAAACAATGATGGATTTAACACTGGTGTTGAAGAATCGCAAACTGATTTTAGAGGGATGAAAGTGTAATTTGTCTTTCCTATTCTGTTTACCACATCCTCAATCAAACTGTAGCCTACAGCTGAAAGTAGGCTTCTTAGATAAATGGAGACAGTTACCTACTAGCCAAGGTTATCGGCGAACATCTGTCCTCATACCCGACGTGATGGACCCTACTGATTACAACTTCTCATTAGAATTTCAGGGAACTTCATCCTGTAACCAGACACTAGCGAGGATCGAATTAATTTTCACGAGTTAGTTTGTAGTGAGATACAACATGCTGAGCATGACCTTGGCTAGTAGTCAAGCTTAAATCACGAAGTGGTAGAAATTGGAATTCGTGAACTGGCCACTGGATGGGGTCTCAGTGGCTGAATGATCTACTAGGTTCTCTAGTAAGTTAAATTCTTTGAATTCAAAACCTGGTGAGTGTATACTGATGAGGAAGACCCAGAGAAGCACGAGACAAATGTCTAACGTTTTGAAATTTCTGTTTTCTGATTCTGTTGAACTGAAATCCTTAGTCTTCCTTGACACGTAGTTATTTTAACTATGGCTTAAGACGAAGATCATGTTGCCTGTCATGTCTCAGTGGCTTGGGTGACAATGCTCTGACTTTAGTGTTGATCTCACTGGAAACACTATTCCACTCACTAAAGATGTGGGTAAAATTTAGTAGACGAGTCCCATACAGGATGAAACTTTGGTCGTTGATCCCACCACTAGCCGCAACCACTAGCAGAGGGGGTTCGGGTATTTCGTGAAAGTCTCTAACTAGATAATTAAAGCAATACTCTTCACGATGTATAATTATATAGCCCCTTGGTCACTAAGTTAGCACTTTAATGAAAGAAAAGTAGGTGAATACGGTTGATCAGTGAGAAGTTTGGTAGACGGATAAATGTGTAGCGCAAATGTTTTTATTCACTGTCTACCTATCGTCTTTTTTTTCAAATAACCTGACAGTAATGTACAGGTCTCAAGACTTTCATATTTCGAATGTTTTAAGCCCGAATGAAAGCACTATTAACTGGGTGTTTTTATTCTTGTTAATTCACCTTCAGTTACATTTAAAGTTATTTTTAGATCCTGTCAAACATACAGATACTTAGGTCCACATATAAATGCCCTAATCATTGAGAATGACTGTAAGAATTATAATTTCCCGGAGATTACGTAACACAGTACTTATGTTTATGTCATTCTGTAGTTGTAGGTGTGTGTGCCTATCTGTCTGAAGAAAGGTTCTTTTGTTTACTTTGATTGTATAAACATTAATTGTCCCAAATAATTTATATCTTAACATCAGTCCAAACAGTAGAGTGACAGAGAGACGGAAGGAGAGATTTCTTACTCAGAATATAAATAAAAAAGTACCACAAAGAACACGGACTCAGTAATACACCCTTATACGCCTGTATATAGACTCAAACATACAAATACTAGAAGAAAGATGAAGGTCAAAGGGAAGGAAGGAGGTTGGGCCAAAAACAATAACAACAAGATTGGAAATATGCGTGATAAACAATGTCTTTTAAACAAAGTTGAAAAACAAAATTTATAAAAAGGCTAAACACTAGAGAGCTCCAAATATCAGGTGAAGGAAAGAGGTTTATTTGTGATGATAATAACAACAGTACAAATTGTTTTATTTTCCTGAGTGACTTATAGTCACTATGCTCTACACAACACCGGAAATACTAAAGTCATCGATTCTAATTGTGCCATGGAGTAAATGGCTTCTGTGACTTAGAATACAGTAGATGTTATTTTCTGATTGGATACTAGTCAGTATCTAGTGTCTGTCTGTCTCTGTCTGTCTGGATTCAACATAGAACTTCGCACCGAAGTGCACCAGTTCGAGTTGCCACCTTCCAAATAGCACACAGAGGTAGACAAGAAGATGAGTGAAGAGAATCAATACAGTCTGACAAGTATAAGAGTGAAACAGAATGGGTAATGGTAGAAAGGAATATGAAAGATTAAAGAGACTGAATACATCTGCGCCATTGACAACGATTTTGAGCCATGTCACCTGTTGTCTCCAGCCAGTGATTCCTAGAGTCAGTCCCGAGGGCCCCAACCCGGGAGTCTGCATCTCCCTACCTGACTCAGTTTAACTGTCAAGGATTTCATGGATTGATGAGGCCATGTTTTTGTTTGGCCACCACTGGCTCTTTTCCAATCTGAACCTATATCCTAGTGTAGTTTGTCTAGATCTATGTTTGGTGCAGACTGAATTTTATCGGTCAAACTTTCAATGTGGCCACCATACTGGGTGGTTTTCCATCACGATGGATTGCGAATTATTAGTACCAGATGGTTAGAGGTATTCGGCAGGAAGCCTTGCACCCAGGTCTCGTGCTAGTTAGTACTCGTCAACGAGGCTTATCTGCCACCTTGAAAGAAGTCATGCCCCTATGCTATTCATTCTGAAAAGGGAATCTTTCCTACACATACTCCTAGTTTTGTATGACTAAATTTAACCAGAAAAATCATAAAAAACTTCATATGTTGAGGATAAAGGTTTCCTAAGCCAAACACAAGCTATCCAGTTGTCAATTTTGACACAAAATATCGCCACAATGAATTATTTTTTGGCTTTTAATGAACGAAAATGTGGAAACCAATGTTAGCTTTTAGATTGAAATTAACTTCATATAAAAATACACTTATCGAAGTCAATTCTCCACTTCCAGTAGGTAGTGTTAATTTTTCAAGTGTTAGTTTGTAGGAAATTGATTGGTATACAGGATTTCATCATGAGCTCACATTAGTTAGAGAACCACTGGAAAACCTGGAAGTTTTTGGCAGCTGTCTCGTCCTTGTTTGGACTCTTTAGCAGTTCGCACTCACCAGGATTTGAACCCAGGACCTTCTGGTTACAAGGCACACGAGATCGTAGATCATTGAGCCACTGGGACCCGATCCAATGGTCTATGAATTCTAACTTATGCCAATTCACGACAGAGCGCGACCCCTAGCCAGTGTCTTCCGTGGCGAGTATTTGTCCTGACACCCAACCAGGTGCATCTTACTGGTCACGACTTCTCACTAGAACCCTAGGCAACTACCTACCTGAATAGGATAAGTCGCTAGTGAATTTAGAATCCACATTGATTTATTATTGCCTTTCATCTCGGCTAACAGTGTCAATTTTGTCACGAACTAACATTAACTAGAGAACCGCTGAAAGTCAGAGAGTACTGAAGAAATATTTTGACTTATTCTGGAATTCTTTAATACGAAGCCAAGCCGTAAACCATTCAACCATAGGACTGGTGTTCACTAGCCCGTATATTCTAACTTTCATGAATTCATGGAGCATTACTACCAAAAACTAATGCCATTCTTAAGCATCCAAGTAACCTTGATATCGTAGACTCTACTGATCAGGAATTTTCATTCGATCTTCAGGAAATCTATCCTACATGTGTCATGTTGGTCCACTACCAGAGTCGCTGTACAGTTTTATTATGGTCCTAAGTATAAACGTTTCATTTTAGATAATTAACGTTACTCCACGGTGTGCACTTCTGAAGAGTCTCGAAGTAGAACGAAATAGCTATCCATTACTCCTTAGAGGGGTAGAGTTTCAATGTTCCTCTATCTGAGGTTGCGTTATGCTATAATCTCAATCGAATCTCTACCAATCAGGCAACACATGCAAACCCGAAATGATGTAGAAACCTTCATTTACTCATCAGTAATGAAAATAAACTAAAATTTAAAACGACAACAACAACACCAACGAAAAAAATCAAATTTCCTCTTCATTACAATTTGATTAATAAGTATTTTTTTGTTCATTTTCTCGCCTTCTTGTAACCTTCTCTTCCTTCTACATTTTTCCTTATTGCAGTTTTGTAAATTAAACAGTGACACAGCCGATTCTGTTCTACGTGATATTTTGAAACGTAAATGGGGTTTGAAACCACCTACCCTTATCATTACTGTTTTTGGTACAGATTTTGAAAAGAAAAGAAAATTAAAAATGATATTTAAAAAAGGTCTTTGGAAGGCTGCTGAAAGTGGTAAGTACTGAATGTTGAGGGTGAATAAATTCATATTCATGTATACGTTGTATTATTTTTGGTTAGAACAAGGTATAGGAGTGAACAGTATTGTTTTTAAATGAGATCTTCTTCTTCAGGCTTTACTTTAATTTATATAGATTTTGATATACACAAAAAAAAACTTTAACCAATGATGGTGAGTTTGTAGATCAAATAAAAGAAACGTCTGAAAAGGTCGAAGTTGCTGCACAAAAGATGCGGATACTTAACTTCGAATTTAAAATTTATACTAAAGCAGAACTTCTCCGTAGATGGCGCAATATCGCTTGAAATTAAGTCACGCGTAGATAAAGACTATCCCGGTCCAGAACAAACAATAAGCCGGTCACTGTTTCTACGGTACTATTAATAAACAAATCAATAATTATATATACTCACAACAAACCTTAACGGTTTCAAGAGTACAAAGCACAACGCTTAACAGAAAGCAAGGTACCGCTATCAGGGAGGAATAACGTTAAAGCCAAAATTGCGAACTAGCCGGAACCAGACACGACCGTTCAGGTAAGCAGTCAGTAGAAGAATGAACCCAAGTAAGGCATGGCATAAAACAGAGAGCGGTTAAGAGAGATAGACCGAGCATAGGCACAAAGATAGAATTTAATTGGCTACTTAACCAGGTAGGAAAATACAGATGAAAATCAATAAATAAGATAAACTCGACAGAATAGTACAAAGTAAGACATGGGTCAGCAAAAATAACAGTTCACAAAATACTCTGATTGGGTCATGAGTTCAACTGTCTGACTAAACGGATCGAGGTAAAAACACATATACACAGTTCATTAAACAAGAGGGGATAGACACGTTAGGCATGGATAATTGGGTTGCAACAACGCTAGGCTGATCCGGAACAGGTTGACTTGATTCAAGGATGGGAATTGAATTGATCTTATACCGGCCCCCAAAATCCGACCAGGATTTTATGAATCATGTTATAGAGAATAACCCTCTTGTCCGGCTCTCTTACAAATGACTTCCCTCTAGTAGGCATATCTTACGTATATCGCGCTTCACTTCGCCGTTTCTCGTTCTTATTGTAACCGTTCTGACAAGTCCGTCCGCGGATTGCTCGCATCCCGCAACAACTCCTCGCGGCCAACGCCTAGCCAACCATCTTGCCACCACAGAATTCGTAATGCTCCTCGATCGTCTAATGGCACCTTCACTTGCATAAACATATCAGCTATGTCTGCGACTACAGCAATAGGCTTTTCTCGAAAGCGCAACAGAACACCAACAAGCTCGGCAATCGTATCAGGTTCTTGATATAGCTTATCGTTCAAAGAATAACCTCTAAAGGTTGCGGCGCAATCTATAACTATTCTCAGTTTATCTGGCTTTTTCGGATTCATTACGGAATGATGTGGAAGATACCACCTCGGGCGATAGTTGGCTGCTAGCTGCTCGGGGGTACCGGAAGGGCATAACCACCTTTTAACATCGTATTTATTCCACCCACATATCGTGCTAAAAGGTTCTTGTCACGCGATAACCTCTGTTTCAGACTGAGTAATGGATTTATGGCGACTACATAATTATTGTCCGTTACCTTTGCTGGATCTTTACATGGCAAGGGAATGATGTAATGCGCCTTTTCTAAGACGGTGGTTTGAGTAACCAACTCGATTGTCTTACGATCTTCAATAGAAAATAAGTCTTCGTTTTCTTCAGTATCCTTAAGCTCAGCTTCAAATAGCCTTCTAATGTCGTTTTTGATACTCTCTTCGCTGATTTGAGCGTAGTTGACAGTGCCTCTTCTCGTATTTCCATGAATGTTCCGTTCTTCGTCCGCGGCTAACTTCACATGGAGCTCGGCCATTTCGACATCATGTCTAACCTTTAGGAACATTATGTCTAACTCTAACTGTAACTCCTCTCGAAGCTGTTTCTCTTTTAGCTGCGCCCTTAGTAGCGACGACCTAGCACTAGTTACTCGCGATAATGATGATTTCGAACTACTGACATGAGAGTCGGGGCACAAAAGATTATCAACATGATCATTTATACGAACAGGGACTTGCCGACTTTCCGACTGCTGCTCCGAAATTAGCTTTCCTGATCTGGTGTGCATTGTTCCAAAGAAAATATATTTTTAACAACGTTGCGTGCTGCCAATTCACCAGTTTCTTCTGGTTGAACGTTCAGTACTGACCAGTTCGGGTACGGGATTTTTTGTTTGAAGTTGAGTACTGACCAGTTCAGTACGGTCTCCTCTGTAACGTTAAGCACTACGTTAAGTACTGACAAATTCAGTACGGTCTCGATCCGCTTTCGCGACCACGTCCTCGACCGCGCCCTCCTTACTTGGGTTCATTCTTCTACTGACTGCTTACCTGAACGGTCGTGTCTGGTTCCGGCTAGTTCGCAATTTTAGATTTAACGTTATTCCGCTCTGATAGCGGTACCTTGCTTTCTGTTAAGCGTTGTGCTTTGTACTCTTGAAACCGTTAAGGTTTGTTGTATGTATAATTCAGAACAAAATATTTAGAGCGAACAATTGTTTTCAATAAATTCTTCTTCAGGCACAATTGTTCACTCTAAATATTTTGTTGTGAGTATATATAATTATTGATTTGTTTATTAACAGTACCGTAGAAACAGTGACCGGCTTATTGTTTATTCTGGACTGGGATAGTCTTTATCTACGCGTGACTTAATTTCAAGCGATACTGCGCCTTCAGATGGCTTTAGAAGTCTCTCAGTAAATTAGACTTCTCCGTTAGCCTACCTGAGAGAAACTATTCAATCAGTACGTGAAAGACAAGCTGTCGCATCGGGCCACTTCAACATGCATACACAAGTTCACTTACTTTTCTGAAGCCAAGCACATTAACCGTACCATAAGACCGCTCGTAGGACACATTTGGGAACACTATCCAGGACGGTTAGCAACAGGAGAACGCAAAAGAGCTGGTGAATTCAGGACATTCACCTCTACTTGAATGAAACGTCCTACAAAGCCGTATACAAGATCCTGTGAAGCCTATCAAAGGGAGTGAAATCAAGACATCTGAAAATAGCTCAGGAATTGGCCATCCAGAAGTTCAAGCCCACCCTATGTATCCAAAAGAAATACATCCACCCGTTGTCCCAACCATGGCCACCATAAAAAGTCAAATCTATCAATAATGATTATCCTATTACCTTTCTTGTCCAACCTTCTTTTATATTTCTACTACTTGTACGTTTCTAACTCCTATCTGCATGATTAGATTTGCTTTATTTGTGATTTTTATATCCGAACTTCCTACTTATTTTGTTATTTCCACGTCCTTAATCTGTAATTTGTACAAACAGTCACGTTTCTTAATAATTATGATCTCGTTACGCCTTTTTTGTCCAATCTTCCTGATTATTACACTGTAATTTAGCCTTTGACAGGAAATAATTCGGGAGCATTCTTACACATTTACTATAGGTACACGAATATGCAGCCTAGTTGATGCAGTTGATGAATTCATGGAAAACGATATTATCTTCGTTGCAACCGTCTTTTTAACCGTAATAAGAATAATGTGTGCTAAATGTTTTGGACGTCAGAAATAACGATTATTACAATGATACCAAAAATAAAGATAACAGTGCTTATAGAGGTGGTGATAGGAGTAACGAAGGTGGTAATAAGTGTATATGTTGACATTGAATTGAATTTTTGATTTTCCTGTCGATTGATTGGACCGAAGTGCTTGGTCTCAAGTTGACATGTCGGCTTCTTGTGCAGATGCTTCGACGATGTCTGGGGAGTTGATTTGTATACAATTGGTGGATGGTGGCTAGCAGTGGAATCCAGGATGCGCATTTCGTTTTGCACAAGAGGTGGCTTTCGTGGCCCAAGTGGTCTAGTGGATAACACTTTGCCGTTTGAAACTATGGGCACTGGGTTCGAGCCTCGGTGGGAACATCATCACTCACTGAGAAATGCAGGTACATCCAGCTGACGAGTCCTGAATAGGACGAAATGCGCATCCTGGATTCCACTGCTAGCCACCATCCACCAATTGTATATGTTGACAATTCAATAAAAAAAATTAGGTCGGATCTTAAAATTTACGAAATCCTGAAGCTGAATTGGACAGATAATCAGAGTTTAAATAAATTTAATCAAAGTACGAAGGAAATGGAAAATAAGAACGGATGAGAGGATGACTTTAATTAGAATTAACCTACTTAGGCCTAGGGAGAGATAAAGGTAGAACAAACTTCTTTTGTATGCGAAGGCACTAGGATTGTTTTCTCGAATTCTCATAGCTTTTTGATGTGTAAAAGGTGGGTTCGAATTCTGTTCGAAAGGTTCACTGGAATATGATAGATAACTTGGAAGTCAATTCTGATGTCCACTTGGTGACCACTATCAATCAAATGAGACAAAATATAACTTCTTATGACCTTTTCTCAACCATAAAGGAAGTTGGTATGATTGTCGATCTGTCTAGTTGTTCTCCCTGATCAGCTTTTCCACAGGACCACCTAAGTTTGTAAATACAAATCGATGTGATACAGTAAGGCAGCTTGTCTGTCACTGGAGTAATCGGTGACACTGAGGTTAGGACTTTCGCCGACCATACACACGATCCGGTGTTCGATCTTCTGCCTACGCACGCCTGATTTCAATGACCGGCTTGCAAAATATGAGCTACAAATATCACATGCTGAAAAATCCATAATTGTACCAAAAATAGGGTGTTGGATCAAGCTATAATAAAAAATATAACTGCGTGGCTGAAAAATGGCAAACATAGGGTGGTGGCAGTATAAGTCTTTTTTATTGCTCTCTATAATCTTCACCGTATGACTTCATTACCCACGTCCCCACTGAGTTGTAGTTTCGAGAACAGGTGTTTACTTTTAAGTGTTTTGAATTTCTCCTTATTATACTTGGTGTTTATATGTCTCCTTACAAATCTACTAGGATAACCTATTTAGACCAGTGTCTTTGGGATTATCCTAATTCATGT